AACTTATTCACTTCATTATAATATACAAGTATTTGTAAAATAATACGATTCTGCTACCTGCTTTCCTTAATGATATACTAGTTTTAATGGTTAGTGGTGTATTCCATCATTGCTACACATTGTAAATTGTTAACTATAATGAATGTAGTCTAAACTTTGTCTACATTGCTATGCATTGTGGTTTTTATATATTGCTCCTAAGTGTTTATCAATTTTATTTTGTTTGCCACACATTGTCATTGTATGTTATTGCTACATACTGTACATTTTATGTCAGTTATGCAACTTATCCTATACCCTCAAACATATTTTCTTATCTGCATCCTGAGATTTGATTATCCTCTTAGTTTAAAAGTTTGTTCAATCAATCTCTTAGTACTTACCATTCTGACAAGAAGCCTGCAACTAGTTATTCTCAGTGGCTGAATATGTTTTAATTACAAATGGCCGGCCACTTGCAACTGAATATATTCATTTGGTAATAGTCACTACCTGTTTGTCAATAAGTTGCGCAGTTAATTTAATCACCAAGAGAGCTTTGCGCAAGATACACCTCTAGGCATCGACCGAATTTTAATAGCTAGAAAGAGGAAGCTCTGTCCTACTTTTGATGAAGAACATCCCAGGGAACGCCCGACTGAATATAAAGCTGAAAAGCGTATCATGTGAATTAGCTTCCTATCACTGTTGTTATGCTATAGGGGCATATTGCGTTGCTTCCCTTTCCTTTATTTGGGATGCTAAAATGCTTATACTATCAGAAGGAAGTTGCCCATTGAAAACTTCGAAGAAGAAGACAACGGAAAAAAAAATAAATAAAAAACACCACGAAACATTGCGGTAGAAAATAAATCAGTGCAAAAACTTTTCAGGTTTAAAATATTGTCATACAAAATACCAAAGTGAAAAATAAAGCCGCTTTAATAAATCCTTGCTTGTTGATAACGTCACAGACGTGAGTTCATGGATGATAAAAAAATTAATCGAATTTTAGTGTAATGATTTGGAGGAAGGAAGTAATATATTTATCTCTATATTTCATCTTTTTTGTATAAACTAAAAATAATTTACTGTAAAAGCAAGAAGGAAACATAATATTGATAAAAGTAAAAATTCCGTTTCCGTGCCAGAAAGCAAATTTTAGTTAGCGCATGTTAAAGTTAGGTAGAAAGAAGTAAAATTTAAAAGTTTGTTCAATCAAAGCGTATTTCACCTGCTGAAGGCCACGTTATTAATTGAGTATCTTAACAGCAGTCTGTCAGCGGAGTTTCGTTATTCTCGCCATTAGGCTTGTCACGCCGGTATTAGATTTGAGCCAGCAAGAACGTATTCTTTCTGTGTGGCCTTTAGCTAATTTACGACATAGCTTAGTTTTAATTTTGAATTCATTACTTTTAAGTTCCACTTGGCTGGATTTGTAAGCGTAAGACGTGCCTTTTATTAATCTATTGAGTTTAATAAAAGGGTCTTTAATACCCTTAGTATGCTTCTGTTATAATTTCCAAGACATAGCGATAATTCCTCTACGTTCTCCTCTGAGTCTCAAGTTGGTTTATGCTTCCAAAGAAGATGAGACTCTACATACTAACTATTAAAAGTAATTATTTAATTAATATCTTTTATAAAGACATATTACACTGAGGTGCCACTGAATTAGGGATACCTACCTAGTAACGAGTTGGGTCTCCTCTGGCTTTGATAACGGCTGCCACACGACGAGGCATAGATTCAACAAGTTTCCGGAAACGTTCAACAGGAATGGCTTCACAAATATTGGCTAAAGCTGTCCATAATTCAGTAAGGTTCGTTGGTGCTGTGTGATGGCCCTTCACGCCTTGTTCCAAACATCCCAAAGATGCTCAATAGGATTTAAGTCTGGGCTTCTAGGTGGCCAATTTATGACAGAAAAGTCAGAGGAATGCTTATCCAACCAGCCAGTATCCAACCGGGACTTGTGAAAGGTACAGTTGTCTTGTTGGAAAACTCCATTTTCGTGCGGATAACAGAACAGCATAAACGGATGGAGGTGATCACCCAGCAACTCTACGTACCACACAAAGACCATGATTGAGCCACCATGCTCTTATACAGTTTCAACCTGGCATGCAGGATCCATGGCTTCATGAACCTGACGCCATATTCTCAGCCTCCCGTCAGCATTAAGTTGTCAGAGTCGAGACTCATCACTTCGTTCTACTCGTTCCCAGTCTTCTACACTCCAGTCTCTGTGCTCCCTTGCCCAGGCAAGACGTGCAGCCCGATAGCGAGCAATGATACTCTCGTAGGTCGACGACTCAAACCAATACGGTGAAGTGAACGTTGCACAGTCCATTTACTGACTGTACGACTGGCACCGTCATTCAACTGGGTGGTAATTTGAGCTAATGTTTATCTTCGCTGGCTACGTACAATACGCCTGAGCCGTCTCTCAGTCTCTCACGACGCACTGTCAAAGCTAATTGTCCTTTGCAGTTTGCCCGATCGCTATTTTTTGTCCACCATCCATGTATTCTTGGTAAATTCTTGACACTGTCGACCTTGAAAATCCTAGCTGTCTGATAATTTCGGAAATTGAATAGCTCATGCGTCGCGCACCTACGATTTGTCCGCAATCAAAGGCGTCTAAATCAGGCAGTTTACCCATACTGGCAATTACAACAACTAATTCAGAACTTGGACTTAGACATTTAGATATACCGAACTATTGACTGACGAAACGTTGCCGGTTCATGAAATCAAGCTCTAGGGCACATGACATAGTAAAATCTGGACGAGTATAACATCTCTGAAGAGAAAACGGATGAAAGGAAAAGGAGAGAGGTACCAAGAGAAAAAAGGCCAAAGGTATCTGGCAAGTAATAAAACTTGACAAGAATGGAGAAAATATAAAAGGATCCAATGACAATTGATCAATGACAAATGTAAAACATGATTCAATAAACATTACTAAAAGCAAAAGATCAATACAACAATATAACAACACTAATTCAACACATGCAGCATAAATACAACACAAATTCAGTCAGTACAACATCACAAGAAAAGTCCAAACAACTTAGAAAACGATACAGTCTAAATCAGATAAAATGGAAATATAAACAGCCACCGAATGGTGAGCTAAGAGAAGAACTAGTCTCCATCCATGATAGTGTGTGCTGCCAGTGGACGTATGTTGCGATCATCAAAGAGAATTTCATAGTTGAAGACTTGAGAATAGTTTACGAAGTTGCATTCGACTGCTTTTGTGAAGAACTTCTCATATGTTCTTTTAATATATTCGGTGATGGTATCAAGCTTGAGATCTCTATGAAGAAGTTCGTTGCGGATGAGAAAGTCAGCATCTGTAATAATACGTAGAAACTTATTCTGCACTACTTGGAGCTGATTTGGAGAAGCAAGTATTCCAGGCAAGAGCTGCATAACAAAGAATTGGATGAATGCAAGTAGTGTAGATATGCCTCTTGGTTCGTAGACTAAGGTTAGAAAATTTTCCTATAACTGGAAGAAATCTACCCATAATTCCAATGGCTTTATTTTTTACATTCTCTTAATATGATTAGTCCAAGTGAGAGTTTGGTTTAAAATGACTCCTAAGTATATAGCTTTTTTGACTAATGGAACTGGTTCTTGAAAAAGGAAAAGTTCTTTAACATTGGTGCGTTTTTAGATTTACTAAGGATTAACAGTTGTGATTTACTGGCGTTAAATTTTAATCTCCAGTTGGTGCACCAGTCTTCAACAGTGTAAAGATATTCTTGCATTTTATTAATTGCTTGATTTGCCTTGATTGATTTGATAGCTATTGATTTGATAGAAGTTTCATTGTCCAGTGAAACTGTGAACTGTCGGTGTTGTAGAAAGGAATAAATCAGGAGAATTAGTTCTCTAGGTAATCCAAGATTGACGAGCTTGAAAACGAGCCCCTCATGCCAGACGCTGTCAAAGGCTTTTGCCACGTCCAGCATAAGGAGCGCTACGCTTTGTTTGTTGTGGAACGCAGAACCGATAAATTCCACAATCCTGACAAGCTGATGAGTCATAGTGGTAAGATTTTTACGAAATCCGTATTGGTCGTTTGGTAGAAGGTGCAACTATGGTTCTAATCTTTTGATAATTCAGAACAACTACGGTACGCGCTATATATGCAGTTACCACAGCGCCCTAACTTGCGCATAAATGATGCTCAGCGCTAGACAATTTGCATAGCCCTTGCTATCCCTAATTCAGTGGCACTTCAGTGCAGTAGATTTTCTTGAAACAAATGTAGTATAAATAATGATTAGAAAGAAGAAGACACTTAAGTTTAATATCATATTAACTGCTATAAGTAGCATTAATCTTTACTAACTTCACTAATTTTCGGATTTTGCATGCTTAAGTTTCTTTCTTAACCTTTCAGGAAAAATTTATTTGTTAACACAAAATATGGGATATGGAGGTAAAAATATTACTTATATTTTTTCTTCTTGTCAGTACATGAAAATTCACTTAAAAATTTTTCAGACAGAAAATGCACATCTGTAGCAATATCATCTAGCGATGATTTGCATGTGCTTTATTTTTTTATTGCGATATTTTGTATGATAGTGTTTTAAAACTGCGAAGTTTATGCACCGCTTTTTATCTACAATTATGTTTTACAATCCATGTGTTTTATTTTTGACTTCTTTTTCTCCCCCCTCTTTTTTTTTTTTTTTTCTTTTACAGCGACGTTTTATTCTTAACGTTGCTTTCTCCGTGACATTCTCGTTCGCGCTGTTTTTGCACCTATGTTTGTACCTGTATTCGTTAGCAAAGATATGCAACAACAAAATTTCACCTTCATTCTTTCCTTTCGTTTAACTAAGGAAACAAGAAACAGTTAGATTTAGGGCGTTATTTTAATATCATAACAAGATCTTCATAAAATCATGATTTGTTTAAGGCATTAATAGTTACTTTTGAAATAGTGTTTAAAATGTGGGTTGTGAATAAAAATGTAGGAAATTTGTTATTCTTACAGTATCAAGCTTTGTAAAGAGTTGGTCTACTCGTTGCTGCGCTGCATCCCTTTCTGCTGTGTCACCTTCCTTTCCATGCATTCTGTGGATGGCTCGTACAATATCCAGCATTTCGTCTCTCGTTACATATCCATCACTGTCAAAGTCGTATAAACTGAAAGCCCCTGAAAAATTTTAGAAGTTATTGCTTAAATTAATGAAACGTACATCACTGACAATAAAACTGAACACATTTTCTGATACTAGGACTTAAAAATACCGAACTCTGCAGTAATGTTTGAGCAATTTAAAATCGCGCATAACTAGCTTTTTACTTATTTCGAAAAAATATGATTAATTTATACCTGTAAGTCAATAAAATTGATGTGAATTACCTAAAATTAAAAGTCTAGAGAATTTTCTTCGAAATTTTACCACTGGCAATTTTTTTTTAGAATACAACAGTCGATGAACATTTTGACGTTCCGTTTGCCTTTATATCGTATTTTCATTACATGTGTACATAGATGAAATGTTTCTCATATTTTCAGCTAAGTGATCGAGAATGGAGATTCACTGAATGAGTATTACGCGACAAGTTGCATTTCAGTGTTTTATAGTTTCTCGGAAGTCCACTAAATAGCCCTCTGTGATTTTCTGGATTTTGGTTGCCTGAAATTTAATTAATTACTGTATGTACTGTATGTTGAAAATGGGAGAAAAAACTAATTTTAAAGAGAAAGAGGTTTTAGTTAATTAAAATGAAAAGGCAACACTTTTACGAACATGTTATATAACGTACAGTACAGTACTTACAAGTGCTGAAAATCACTGCTTGCTGAACATCTCTGTTAAAGTAAGCTGTCTGACTGTCTTCATCAGTTTTCGTGCAGTCAATTCGCGCATCCGCTTGACAATGAGAAGTTGCATGTCGTCACACTCGGGCTGACTCTCTATCCAGCCGGCCAGTTTTAAGGCCGGCAAACGCTTCACTCGCTGGTAGTCCCATGTCTGCTTCAGCATTAAGGTCATTTTCTTCTTCGACACTTTCTTCTCTCACACTTTCAATAAGCTCATCATCATCATTTAGAATTTGATACTCAGGATCTGACGAATCACACACTATCCATTCTGCTGTATCCTGAGTACTAACTTCTGAACATCCAGGAATTCTCAAAAGATTTTACAATTTATTAGTAAAATTGTGCGATTGAGATTTCAAATTTATTTTGAGAATTGCAGTACGTTTCCGTTTTAGTTTTTTTCTTAAATTCTGAAAGCGATTTGGATAGTCGGAGTTCAAACAATTGGAGTTGTACTGTATCCGAATTATGGTAAAATACTCAAGGTGTATCTAAGGAAACGAATATCTCCATGAAAAACGTTTTAAGGGAAAGTGGCTCGAATCCACGTTAACCATAGGTAAAAACACGAAAACTCTCATTCAGTCAGCCAATTCGCTGGGATTTGACTCCAGGACAAACAAATAGTGTTCGGCAACTGGTAGGCATTAAGGACACAGAAAGTATACTTTTAAACCTTGGCTTAATCTGGTCAATCTAAGCAAGATCTTTTTAACGTAAAATATGTTTGTCTGTTCTTTTCTATAAGCGCAGAAAGCAACAGCATTTTTACCTACAATTTTTATTTAGTTGAGGTTCTTAGCTTTATTGTAATATATACTGCTTAGAAATTTCATATATAATATTAGATGATTTATTTTGAGTTTAACATAAGCTAATAGTCATTTAACGAATGGACCGTCATTTAACGCTAGGAAGAAGGACTTGAACATTATGAAAAAGCGTAAATGGAAATTTCTGTAACAAAAAAAGTGGAGGCTGATAGAGAAATTCTTTATTTCATAATCTAAATTTTCACTAGACGCAAAGGGTATAAGAATTACTGAATTTTTTTTTCCTGTAACAAAGCCGTTGTTGATCAAAGTATTCACACGTTGAGTTATTTTGAAATTAACAATGTTTACGCTTAAGCCCCAAAACTAACATTTTAGTTTATAATTACTGCTCACAGTTCTTTGTTTATACTTGATTAAGTAAAAGGTTTATTGAAATAAGATACGTAATTGTATGAAAAAAAATTGAGTAGAATGGGTAGAATAGTTACGTAAAAATAAAGTACAAGATTTGACATTTGGTTCGTAAAATGGAAGTCGCACTTAGAGACTTAAGGATATTCATTGGGCTTCATGAAAATTTATGTAATTCTGATTTGCGTTTGCAAAATTTGAGGAGATATTCAAGAAAAAATTTAATGAAATAGTCATTTGCTTATTTTTGTTATGCTGAGTTTGTTCTTAAAAGACGTGTAAATCAAGACTTTGAGAAAAAATACAGTAGGCAGCTACAAAATAAGTTTTTAGTTTTGGTGTTAATGGTTCCATTACTAAGAGAGGAAATGTTCATGCTTCTCTTAAACCATTTAGTAAGCATATGTGTGAGACTTTCCAGCGTCGAGATTCTTTATATGTTTAACTCTGTAAACCCTAATCAATCTTTTACAATTTGTATTTTTGCACTACACGGATCATATAAAAATTTAAAAGTTAAATTTGCAAAGAACTTCTACTCCCAGTACTAAAAGTATTTTCACAAAATTCTCTATCTTATATTGAGAAATTCTAGGGAAAATATTTAAGGGAATAAATGTGGTAACTACCTTCTTGGAACACGTTATATAACTTAATTTATAATTAATTCGATGATGAAAATTAATTATCAATCAAATGATATCGCTGATGCTATAAATTTTTTGCTCGGCTTACTGTGCTATATCAAGGATTCAGAGATCAACTAAAGAAGACAATATTTCCCCCCACGTATTCCTCGCCGTTTTGTCGGAGTATATATTATGAGGGCCATTTCTTTCCTTTGTCACTATACTTCTCTTGAGGCTTTGTTGTAGTTTTCTGTAGGTAACGATTTTCGCATCTTTTTCTTTATTGCAGTTTCTTTGTTCTCCCGTAATTACTAGGAGCTCTTTCTCCTTTTCTCCCGACCCACAGAAGATATTTGGCAATCGTTTCAGATCAAAAGAGGGATAATTTGAGATTATTCGCGTAGTAGTTCTTTTCACTCAGAGGATTTCCAATGGAGTTTCCTTATCGTTTATTAGGAATTACATGTTGCTATAATGACAGTACTCTTTTCCCTCTAATGAGTATTTATTTGAATATTCTTTCACCATTTAAGCGTTAAAGATAACGTCATATTACTAACATAGCTGCATACCACTTAATTATAAATCACGTTTACTTCAGTTTTCCATGAAAGAGTGTTAGATCCTCACAGCTTTAGAACTGGAGAGTATATTTCTTAATATCCCAATCCTGATAGTACTAATTTTGACGCTTTAAAAAGTTTTGCTTTTATAATCTAAAAATGTATAGAAATTATTTTGTATGGTTTAGTAAGCAGAAAAAATTAAATAAATAATAATAATAAAGACGGCATTTTTTAACGTTTTGTGTGTTACCTTTATTTATTAAATGTCATGTTCTTTGCACTTAAACCATAAAATTCAGTTCAACAATTAATTTTAAAATTATTTTATGTCCCAAAATAATTTTAAAATGAGCCTATCTTTAGAATTTCCGATGCACAGTTCCGCGCGTTGGAGATAAAAAGGTTTTTTACCCCGTACAGTGTTACCATCGCTCGCTTTTAAATCGTTGAGTTTGTTAATCAAAAATTCGTTAAAGTTTTACAAAATGCGAAATCGATAATAAAACAAATTCCAAATTTCAAATTTGGGCTTTGAGATGTCCATAGTGGCAGTAGGATTACGTCATTTAAAAGTGGATGGCTCTAGGTACCGTTGTTTTATCACAATGCCAGAAACATACATACATTCATGCAAATTCTTCATTATTTAATTTCTTCAAATATAATACAGGGCGATAGTATTGGGTGGCAACGATTTGAAAAGTTATACGCCGTTAACAATAGTCCTTTAGGGACATAGCCTCTTTGGACTAATAATAATAATAATAATAATTCTGAGGAGGTTTATATTTTAACGGTTGCTCTAACGGGGACGCTTAAAATTTAATATGATTTATCAAGTACAAGTAATTTTTTTTTTCCATAGAGATTTTCCATAGAGAAGGCCCAGTACGAATAGAGAAACAACATTTTATAGCGCACTAGATTAATATACATTTAAACAAACTGATCGTTGAAAAGTTTTGACATAAATGTTTGACTGTTTTCCAAGTTAGAATTCATAAGATTATCGTAACTAGAAACGTATGAAAATTCAAACTTCCGAATCTCAAATCATTTTCAAGATACGAATATGCCTCTCTTGCTTAACTATCGGTCGCTTAAACTATATCAGTCGCTTAAACTGGCAATTTCCACGCTGTTTCCATTCTGTCAGACCCAGTTAATAGCCAGTTCTCGAAGTTTTCGCCTTTACATGAGTCTTAAAATTTATCATTAAAATTAAAATTATACTTTTTTTAGACACTGAACAAATTAAATGCAAAAATAAAAAAATGTTTTTATTAATTTATATCTTTATTCTTTAATAACGTATTTATTTGATGTAACTTATACTATGTCTAATTGATATGATTTATAACACTGCTAACTGGCGTAATATTTTAATGCACCTAATTTATAATTTTTTTTAAAATATTTGTATCATGATCGTAAGTAATAAAAGATAATTCTAATACTATATAATACTTACTTCAATACCGAATAATAACGTGCTCACTAATTGGCAACAAGTTACCTATATTTTTATTTAGCTCTTTTAAAATCAGTCTAAGATTTACCATATGAATTTAAATAACATAAATAGTATCATAAGAACTAAGTAAGTATCATATGAACTAAGTACTGATTATGTGTAGCCACTTGTATCGAGTGAATTACGGTTAAAAAAACGCTATTTTTTCAGTGTTGTTCAAGTGAAAACAAACTTCATTCTTTAGTTTTGCTGTCGATATCCACGAGTCTATTAACAAGCCAACTGTATTGTTTCCATGTTTCAAAAGTTAGCATTTGGCTTATTAATTAATTTTTATTAAAAAAACTATATTACCAAAACTTTTAGACAGTTTCCCAAGCGTTTTATGAGTCTACATTTTTCATGCAAACTTCTGCGGTAACAGGCGATAATAACAAATTTTGAGAGAGGCACCTCAACTTCTTCCCCTTCAAAAAGTTATAGCAAAGGTTGCGCACATAAAAATACAGATAACAAGGGCGGATAGTGAAAATTGCATAAAAGAGTTTTGTCGTAGAATTTTATTCCCTAGCGTGATGAGATGTCCACTCTTTGGAAGCACTTTCCGCTCGCAAATGTTTATCCTACAGCCATTTTCAGCGGGAATGATAACGGCCTTTTAGAAAAGTCACTTTATTCTTCGGTGGCTTTCCCATTCCCTTCATTTTAAATGCGCTGGAAATACATTCTAAGTTTTAGTCTGTTTCAGAAATTAACGGCTTTTTACGCACTAAAAATTTTTTCCATTACATCTCCCTTGAACAATGATCGTTTCCCAACTAGGTTATGCTGTTAGTGCTGAGCTAAATTTAAAACAAATTCTGTACTTCATTATTCGGAAGTAGGATGCTTGTAAAAGCATTCAACAACTACGTTAATAACTTTCTAAGCGTTTGAATACTACTACCAGTAAAGGATTGAGAATATAAAATTAACCGATATTATTATAACTCGGTTCTAATGCTTCAAAAAGCTTCCCAAAATGTTATTAATGCTCACATTGAAATCGTAGAGTTTGTTAATCAAAAATTCGTTGAAGTTTTAGGAAATATGAAGTAGATAATAAAACAAATTCAAAATTCGGGCTTCCAAGTGCCCATGTTCTGTTGGAGGTCTACGTTATTCAAAATTTGATGGCTCTAGGTACCGCTGTTTATTCACAATGAAATTTTCACAATTTAGAAATATTCATGCATTTATGCAGATTCTTTATTATTTACTTCCTTTAATTATTATACATGGCGATAATATTTGGTGGCAACAGTTGGAAAAGTGAACCAACGCAGAAAGTGTGAAACGACGCAAAATGCTATTTTGAGACTAACATGCTCTTTGGGCCTAACGTCCCTTTGGGCTTTGAAAAAAAAAAAAAAAACCCTCTCCCTCTGAAATAAGTTCCCCCTACCCAAAACGAAATCATTATAACCTTCTTCCGCAAGAGTAAACAAAATAAAACTATCTAAACTTAAAAAAAAAAAAAAAAAAAAAAAAAAACTTTAAAATGACAGAATTAGTATTATCTTGAAACTTAAATAACACTACGAAATGTGAATAAAATAAACTGAAAAATGTTATTTTGGTTCAAATTTATTGAGTTGCTCATACAAATTATTTTCTAGAATGATGTAAATTAAAATGCAGGTGTCTAACTTTTCAAAGAAATAATTTTAAAAGAAGTATTTTAAAATAATTTTTAGATTAGAATAATTTTATAATTTGCATTATTCAATACACTCACTTGTTTACGTGATAGACATAGCACTAAAATAAAGAAACTATAAAATATCAGTACACTCACAATTGAGTTTTTCTTCAATTGTACCTCTCGTTGTGATGGATATGGCTAATATGAATTCTTTAAATGTTATCACACCATTCTGTGGAAGAAAATACAACATTTAATTCAAATAAGAGCAAGTCAGATGCACAAATAAAGTCTTTACATTCAGACAGAAGAGAAATATAATAATATTAAAAAAATGCACTTCTCTGGGCTAAGTGTCTGTTGATATTCAATCATTACAGAGATGTGGTATCGCAAGTATTGTCTGATGGTCTGTGTGCTGACGAAGAGTAGCTGGCTGTAAGATTGCATTATGAATCGAAAAGATTCTAGTTAATGAAATTCATTTTTGAACAAAATCGTTTGCTGCATTCATTCATATCTATGCAACATATTTTTTATGCTTTATACTTCTAAAGTTAATTCGAATGCAGAGCTTGATTCTTTTAAATACTGTCGAATTTCTTTAACTCTAAAGCTATTGTTATAGTTAAATAAAACCATATGAATTCTATTTTATGCATTATAAGTTCTATTTTATGCATGTTAAAAAACATTTGTCTCTCTTTATGCACTAGCCAATCCCCAGCATTGACCGCAGCACAACAAGAAATTTTAGATCTATTAAAAGTCACTCTAGGAAAAAGAATTCATGATCCACTGGATTAAAGCAGATATAGGAAGTTTCTCAAAACCGCAAGTAAAAACTTTCAGGAAAAGTAGAGAGCATGGATCATATTCAGACAGAAAAGCATGACCGGACACAATAGCCCTAGACGTTAAAAGAGATATAAAGGCCTTTCAAGAATTCAATACCTAAAGCGGTGCAACGCGATGTATTTGGCTAAACGTAATAGTAAAATAATTGACAAACGCAAGAATATGGTTTCGTAAGTTCTGATCATTCGTAGTGATGTACGCATAACGCCCACGCTGCATGGATTTCTAAACATTCCTCCAGATACCTGGAGTTTCGTGGATATTAATAGTGGTGATGGCGATTCTTGTGACGAGAAAAAGCAACTGGTATTACACAATAGCCTTGATGGTTCCTCGCAGAAAGAAACTGATTAGAGATAAATTAGGTGATGTGGGGATCATGAACAGATCCATCGTACCCAAATAATCGATCCGGTCGGGTCAAAGTATGCACATACACGAATGGTGCAATAAGCTGGACACCATACATGATGGAACTACAAACGGAAATGCATAGTCAAGTAACTGTCTTTCAATAAATGATACAGAAACTCCTCCTAAGGAGTCTGATACTTTCGAGCGTTGAGTAGTAACAGGCATAAGTCACTTAACATGCACCCTTATTACCCGCCGGCACATTCATGGAGAAGCGGTGTTAGCCATCAAAGCACGGATAATTTAGCCTGCGGATTCTCCTGGGCCCATTTATATGCATTGCAGAGAAGGACGACCCCCATATTCATTATAGTGTAAGGTATATTTTAATTTTATATAAGTTTGTATCTCTTTTCTGTCTCTCCTAGCTTCAGCTTACAACTCCCTGCCAGAGTTTTTAAAATTGCGTTGAATGCAAATGAGAAGGAGAATAGTATTTGAATCAAGTTCGACTTCGCTAGAGAGAATCAGGATTCCTGAGTAGCATGCCTACGCCTTTGGGCTACTTCTCTCTAAGCTGTTAATACGCTCGGCAGTTTTACGTGCTTTTTGGTAGTTCGCTTGCTAACTTGATATTACAGGCCAACTACTTTAGACTTGTGTAAGCTTCGGCTAAATGTCTTTAGTTTGTCATTAGTTAGTTCTTATTTCTTACATTTTAAGCCTAAGTGGGAGGCTTTGCTGTACGCCCTCAAATAGAGGCCGACTGTTAAATCTTTATTTGGAGTAAATAATGGGTAATTAAGACTTATTGAGTTTACGTTTCTGTTCTTTATATTTATTTTTAGTGAAATGTCGGTCATAAAAAATAATCCATTCATTTCAATAAACCAGCGATTCTGATCCGATTCCATAAAACAGCGGTTCTATCCATCTCTAATCTACACTAATTGGAAGAATTGCAGACGCAATATATATAAATCTGTTGTGTACACAATACTTCATGGAGTGGCTTGAGATGCTCCCACCGCAGCGGCAGCTACAGGCATACTTGTGCCAAGAAAATTGTAGCATGCAGCATAAAAGTTTTCCGTGATAGTTCTGGTAGATCGTGCACCAGTTCGCCCCTGCATATTAACTCTGAAAGGTTCTATGTTCACACAGGTCCTGATATAAATGTGCAATCATTTAGCACACACTTGGTTGGGTTCTTGGATAACCTTTCTGAAAAATTCTTAAAATAGCTCGCCCATTACCGTCAACTATTCATGTACAAAGTTAATGTCTGCCAACTCAGCTTTCGCAAAACGATGCATTACGCCATCGCAAGTTTTAACTCGAAAGCCTAAAATGCCGAGCTGGAGAGTTGGCGTTACAACGTCATTTATGTTTCCAAACCAGCTTCCATGTGTAAATATGGCTGATATCGATGCTCTCCTACGTTCTCTCAGAGTATGTATGTGGAGTTTTTCAGATACCATTTAGAGCTTGAACAAGGAGCGGACTTCTGACGGAACAGCAGAAAGGGAGGAACGCGATCTCTCCAAGCACAGAAGCTAAAACTGAATCTAAATTACGCTGTAAAGCGTAAAGCAATAATACATAGCAGAAACTTATGGGAAAGCACAGAACAAGGTTGCCGTACATAAAATATTATTTAGAAAACTGGTTCAGGAAAACACTCTTCATGTATTAACAAGATATTGGTTAAGACACAATAACACGCTGAATAAATATTAATTCAGAAGTCAAACAACAAAACGCTGATTTTTGTTGTTTGACTTCTGAATTAAGATATTGGTTCCTATTGGTTCACAAACCTTTCTTCATTTATTTCTGCAAGCGTAATCCCTCGAATTCCGATGAGCACATACATGGAGAGAAAGGCAACTAACTCTCTTATCATCTCTTTTAACAGAACAAAATCTTTTAGTGCAGTTCCGTGATAATGTCAAAGCTAAAGATACGTTAAAGTTTTCTGTAGCTGAAGGAAAAGGTTCTGTTTAAACTTAAAAACTATAGTCTTGCAAATTTATGCATGTTAGGATGATCCTCGTTGCTAATTTGGCTAATTTGTATCTTTAACGTTTGTTTATAACTTTTATAATGCCAATGTTTTGTAAAATACGAATTAAAGGGAAACACGTGAAAAAGAGAAAACAAGATACTATCTTTTTTTGAAAGATGTAGTGAATCTCATTTCGGAAAATTGGAAGAAGCGGTTCAAACTTTTACACTTACACTCTGCTTAAAATATTGAAATCAGAAATACAAAACCTGTTCTTTTTAAATAATATTTATCAAAATTCCCATACCTTATCGATGTCGAAAACATTGAAGACGTAATCTACAAAACGAGTTGGATCACCAGACGGGAAAAACTGGCCATAAATGTGTTTGAATTCCTGTGATAAAAATAAAAAAGTAAATATAAATCATTTTGAAAGATATTGAAAAACATGCTAAACTGCAATATTTATCTTTGGCAAACATTCTGCAATTTTCCCTGCTTAATGTTAATAACTTTACTTTAAAATTAGGTTTTGAAATTAAATTGCATCATTCATAATATTGTTACCTTGAGATACAATTTAATTCTTTCAGTAATAATGTGAGTTAAAACTTATTTATTAAATTTTAAAAGTAGTATTGTGACTAATTTAGCAGTAAATGAGTTTCTTATATCAGTGCTCTAGGTCTCAAAATTAAATATTACATGCAGGCCGAATGCAAAATTTGAAAACAGCTGACGGGACTTTTTAAAATCAAAATGGAAGGCTTTTTCTTTAACAAAACACCTTTTTTAAACTAAATTTTAAGCTTTATTTATTAAGTTTTTACCAAAACATGCATAAACAGCAATAACTATCATGCAAAGGAAAAAAATCCTATTTATACTAATTTTTTTCTGAAATCTAGAGGTTGGTAAATGGTAGAAATTTCTGCTGGTTGCACTTTGTAATTCAAACGTATTGTCAGCTAAATATTAAACGTTAAGTCAAAAGTTTATTTCAAATAATTCTAATATGTTGAATAAACCTTTAAATAATTTACTTATTAGTTAGAGTTAGACTTAGCTTATTAGTTAGAGTTACTTATTAGTTAGCAAACAAAATACTTATTAGTTAGAGTTAGCAAACAAAATACGAAAACCTTTCAGGTTGAACAGAAATTGAGAATAAATAACAACAAACCAATATCTTTCTTTTATATATGAAATTTTTTTCATATTCCGAAAAAGCACATATATTTGTATGTAAATTAATATATAAACTTCTTTATTTATAACTACAAATTTCAGCTATACTTCATGATGTTTCGATTTTGATAAAATTTGTGATCTTGGCGAAAAGTTACTGGAAACTATCTTTATCACCAATACAAGCTCGTCGGTCAGTCTAGTTCTTTCTGTTTTTTTTTAGCCTTTATTTAGAGATTTGACTTTTAACGGCCAAAAAAATAAACTGTTCACATATAAATATATTCCCTTCCCCTAACAAAACAATCGGAAAGCTTTCAAATTTTACATTACGCCGAACGAGCTTTTGTTTCGTTTACAGACACTCGAGACTATTTGGGCTAAAAACAATTAAAAATACTATATCTTTAGAATTTTCGATAGATAGTCTCGCGCACTGGAGGAAAAAGTGTTTTATTCCCTATAATGGTGCCATTAATCGCTTTGAAACTGCTGAGGTTTCAATAAAAAATTCCTTAAAGTTTTACAAAATATGAAATAGGCAATAAAACAAATTCTTGTGACTCTAGGTACCGTTGTTTTCGAACAATGCGAGAAACATACATACGCTCATGTAGACTTAGTTTCTTTAAATATAGTACCAGACGATAACACTTGGCGGCGACAATTTGAAAAGTAATACAGTCGTTTATAGTTATTCGATGCAAAATACCGTTTCGAGACTAATAGCTCTTCTGTGCTAACTCTTATTTGCACTAAAAAAGCGATTATTCTCATTACAAAAAATTTGTAGCTGATGGTATTTATCTTTTGACAAGGGCGAAAAAATTTAATCTCTATATCTCTGAATAAGATTTATATTTCAGTAGAAATTAATTATCTGCATCTGCAGATTTTCTGGGGCGATTACTCACGCTCGATTTTAATGGTTCTGAAAATAACGTAAAATTGCACTCAAATTCATTAAAACCTTTTCTTAATTTTTTCCATAATAATTAATGTCATACTAATTCTAATTAACGGGGAATGTATTCGCGGGTATTGTAAAACTGCTGTGGCTGCATGTGTGTTAGTTTGAGACCAAATGTTCCCTATAAAGATCCTATATGAATAAATGTTCTGCATGGCTATGAGATAGCATACTCAAAATTAAAATATATATGATCGCAGAATGCATATTAGAAAACTAATATTTATTTAGACCATTGCATCCCATAAATAGCATTTTTTTCAATTAAAATTTTTTCAAATTACTACATAAATTGAATAATCTTAAATACGAATGTCAGCAGTTTATTAAACTCGCTTGGAATATAATTTTTTATCATTATATTGATAATGTTGGAAAAGAACATAAATTTTTCTTTTTGTAAATGATTTTGGTAACCAATAAGAAATTATTTAGTTAATAAAAACAGAAACTGACAATATATTATTTATGTGAATTATTAACAGTAAATTACCAGCACAATATGCTGAACTCTAAATTATCCGTCCTCCGATTACCTGTGCATAGTTACCCCCAAAATATTCTAAGACTAGTACTTGAATAAAACCTTGACTACTAATTTTCTGGATGAAACTCATGAATAATTCAGGAGATCTCTATATTGAAACCTTAAGTAAAATTGCAGGATTAACGTTAATTCATGGATAAAAGAACGGTTTCCTGCTATTGTAAAGAAAACAGTTCTCCCGATACAGAGGCAATATCTTGGAACTCTGTTGAAATCATGTTTGGTGCTTAATGGTTGAAAATGCTTGACGAAATGTCAGAAATATGAATCAAAAACATGGTGCAGGTTACAGAATGTTTTCAGCAAAACATGCTTGATAGAGAGAATCAAAAGGAACCTGAATAACAATGCGAAACAAATAACCAGGATGAGGAGGAAGTAAGCAATGATAAGCAAGGATTAAATTTTTTGATTTAAAAATTCTTTTTTGATTTAAAAATTCGGTATTTTTAAATCAAAAAATTTAAGCCTTCATTTTGAATAACCCAGACCATAATTGATGATAAGATCAGATATCTAAATCATACAGAAATTCAAATGAACTGAATGTTATCTTGCGTCGGATTAGAATGAATACTTGAAAGCTTGATTATTTTTTTATCTATCTAACTGTGTAAAGATTAAAACTCAACCACAATTAGTTTGACAAATAACAAAAATTCGCAAGAGAAATTCGACAGTTAATAAAACTCGAAGCATATGGAATTTTGATGGTCGTTGTAAATACGCATTTGAAGTACATTTAAAGAAATCGGATGGATAAAAGCGGGTAAAAGATAAGTTTCCTCATTTTTGGATCTACATGCATTTCATTTTTTTTCTAATATAAGAACTTGTATTAAAACACTGAAATCTAAAAATTGTGTTAACCATACTAGATCTTCGTTTATTAAATTAATATGCATTTATATAGTAATAATCTCTAAAAATGTCGCTTATGGCAATATCACAATACCACTTCACTAGAAAACTGAAACGACCATGAAGTTCTTTTTCACACACAAAATAACACATTACTTTCTGCGTAGGATATAAAATGATGAAATATTAAGTTTATAGCAGCAAAAATATTATATTGCCTGCTGTATATGGTATGAGTACTCACTTCTTTTGTCATATATCCGGATGGACAATCCTGAATAAAATCTTTGTACCTGAAAATAAATGTCATACATTTTTAGTATTATGAAGCAGCAAAAATATGTGTAAATTACATGATACATGCCCCGTTTTCTTGGCTGGTAATGAAAGGATAAAATTTTTCAAATTGTGATCAGGGTAAACTGCAGTGATATTTTAATAAGTTCATTCGATACGCACTCAGAGTTTTGCAATTTTACTCACGCACATTTCGTAAGTAATGTGATAGCCTATGTGCTATATGTGCAGTGCCAATGATGCTTTACAATGATGTATACAGTTTTGTTAAATTTATTGTACATTTGCTTTGAAAGTTTCAATGAAGATTTAATTTAGAAACGGGATAGAATTGTATGATATGAAACATAATTCTCTACTGGAAAAAATAATTATTTTCCTAACTTTAAGTTAGAAAAGATAAATACTTTTAAATTCTTCTTTTTGCAATACGTGATCTTCTCTAGTAAGTACTTCATAAAATAAACATACATAAAATTAAAGTTAGAAATGAATTATGATAGTAATATAGTCTGAGAGACAAAGTTAATTACCAAATATTAAAATGAGATCGAAATTCGTTGTAGTTTTGCACGTATACATATTTTGACAAAGGGACATGTAATGGTTTTAAGGAATAGTGATTGATTACCATGCATTTTCTTTGTTGGAGGTCATAATTTTTTATAAACATAATATATTAGGAAGGTAGTCAATATAATGCTGGTAATGCTATAAGGTATTTCTCCCGCCTTATTTGCGTGTCTTCGGGGTATGGTGGTCTGCACGCTGGGCACGTATTCCAGACGTTCATGGTTCGATTCCCGGCGAAGGCGTTGCTCATTTTTCAAGTCTCCTGCTTACAAAGATACCTACTGTCACTACAATGCATACATCGAAAGATACAACATACAGCATCACAAACAAATGCTGGATGTTGCTGTTTTCTTCCTGTCGGTGCTTGGTAACCCAGCACTCCAAGTTTGCAATAAACTAACAAGCTAATTGTGACTGTTGTTGCCAATTTTGGCTTTGGCATTTTCTTTCAGCTGCTGACTAATGATTGATTCTTATATCTATCGGTAGTTATTTGAAACTAATATGATTTTCAGAAATGTTTATAAAACTGGCACGCATTTTTTGGAAGTGTAAGGAATTACCCCATCATGATGAAATCAACCAAGTTTAAAGTCAGCGTTTTCAAGTAACAGAAAGTTTATCGATCAAAATGCAGTACTGTGTTCATCACATTTGAAAAAAAGGTTTTATAACTCTTCTAAAATGGCTATGACTGTTCAGACCAAGTTCCTTAAAGATCGCCAAGGTCTTCATGTATCAGTATCCCAGACATTCTGTTTTGAAGCATCATGATGAAATTAACCCATCATGATGAAATTAACCAAGTTTAAAGTCAGCGTTTTCAAGTAACAGAAAGTTTATCGATCAAAATGCAGTACTGTGTTCATCACATTTGAAAAAAAAAAAGGGTTTTATAACTCTTCTAAAATGGCTATGACAGTTCAGACCAAGTTCCTTAAAGATCGCTAAGGTCTTCATGTATCAGTATCCCAGACATTCTGTTTTGAAGCATGACGAAGGGAACTGCACACTGATAAGCTAAGCACAATTCAGTTTAAGTTAGGTTATTTGAGTACACCAAAGAACACAAAAATTATCTAAGAATAGGTATACCTTCGTGAAGAACTGTTTAAGGAAAACTGGGTCACATTCAATTACACATCGAGAAAACTACGAAACCATTCATGTAGCCAATCCCTTTGTCATGATTCGAACCTGAATCGAACTACCACTGCGCAATGCCTTTATTCACTCAGCCACTGGTATGTTGACACAATCCCGGAAAGAGATCATTATCGCTGCAATTCATGACAGCAAAATCAGCTCAGTGAGGTTTTTAGTATTTGTTATGAAATAACACATGGACTCTTTTAAGATATATTATGTTGCTAAAGTGAATTTCCACGTGAGCAGTAACCAAACTGCAACTCAGTGCCACTGAACTGATTAAAGTAGGAGTCGAAAATATTGCCGCAAACGTCTGTGTTTACTACATTTTAAAAATATATGGAGGAAATGGCCAGGCAACTGTAACTGTAATAACTGAGGTAGGCAAGGAAATGTATCTGCAGAAAGACTTAGCGGGTGCAAAACAAGACATCTGTCTGTCTGTCTGTCAGATAATGTTAAAGCGCCATCTAGATGAGCGCTGAGACGCTAAAGTTGACGACTGCAAACGTGTGAAAATGTTGTCATTATTATTCCTTTTTCTTTTCTTTTCATTTTAATTTTTCTAAATAAATCTTAATTTAGAAATAACTCGATAAATTTTAGTAGTGATGCAGAATGTGAAATCTTTGTTTGGTGGGTATGTTATCTTCAGGAGATGACATTTATATTAATATATTTATTACCGGAAGAGATAAGCTAGCAAAATATGAGTTGTGTCAAAAACTCTTGAATATATTTTAAAAACAATCAAAAACATACTCGTAAAATTTTCTGGATATTGCACAAATTTAGATGTTTAATAGTGATGTTTTTCCTACATATATACGACTCTTTTATATCGTTCTTACTCTTGTAATTACAATGCCTGAAGATACCAGTATTTGATGATTTTGCTAGACGTAAATGCTTATCAAAACCTTAAATTCCAGTAAATACTACTACAACATGGAATGCTAAATTTATGTAATTGGAAGGAAGCATAATTTTGTAATTTTGTAATACCATTTTAGGAACAGTTCTTACAAAGGAATATTGGTCGTTATGGCAGATGCCTTTCGAAAGTGGAATTCTAGTGGCACTCGTGAAGCAATAAAATAAGACAAGAAACTGCATAAACTGAAGGAACCCAGGCAATATGCTTAGTGTTGAAACTAAATAATGAATTCATTTATTATTATTATTATTATTATTTTGCTTATCGTGTCTTTAGTGGTGCCCCAAACAATGGAAACTACTCTCAGTATCATCAGTTTTCAACGATTCATATAAAGGATATCGAATCACGTAAGTGAGATCGACTGCAAGAAGCCTTTCCGTACATATAGTCTACTAGCATTTCCGACTAAGAATGTCTTCTTTTAAAATTTCGCTGAAAAAAATTGATTTGCGAAATGAAGAAACACCCAGTAGACATATATAGACAAGAAATTCACTGGGTCAAATCATAAAGTCCAATAGAAATCCTTATTACTTTTGGAAAATAAAAATATTTTTTTCACTTCTAATTACTTTCGGCAATATATAAAAGGTATTGTACGTATATAAAGGTGTATTTGTCTGTACATATTATGCTTGTATTAATTATTAATATTATGCTTGTAGTAAACGATAGCTCTGGGCCCCCAGAGCATGAAACATATTTAAATCTTATTTATTGCAATAAAATTACGTTTCAAAGTGAAAGCAAAATTGCGTATCCAGCCGATAATGTTTTTTGTACATAGTTTATAGTATTTCAGTTAAATGCGTAAGTGGAGGAAACATCTTAACTGCTATATGTCAAGTCAAGAAGAAAAGATACAATATTTTAGAAAAAAATAGAACAAAATTGGTATTATAAATACTGTTCATCACTGTACATAATCAAATGCAATAAGCATTTAGAAATTACTAGTGAATCAAAACACAGACGTGATTTTCAATATGCATGTTATTAAAATCAGTGAGTTCGAAATTCCAACATCTCTTAATCATCTTATGGTTTGCATTTTTCAGAAATTAATGCGCATTTTGCAATTAAAACTTGTTGTCTCAATGAGCTGTATGCAGAATGTGAAATCTTTGTTTGGTGGGTATGTTATCTTCAGGAGATGACATTATATTTAATATATTTATTACCCGGAATATGAGAGTCGTGTCAAAAACTCTTGAATATATTTTAAAAAAAACAATCAAAAACATACTCGTAAAATTTTCTGGATATTGCACAAATTTAGTGAATCCAAAAATTCTGCAGTACAGCTTACATTAAAATATTGTTAATTGTTTTAAGAGGAAATTAAGTGATATTTATAACATTCGCTGAAAGGATTTCCAACCTAAGAAAGTAATGAGTATTCTTGAGATGTGCCTTACGTGCATTGTATTTTCGTATATGTTTAATATTTCATCATGTGTTTTCAGCTTTATCGTTCAGTATAACAGCTTCCCAGAGAAAGGCTCAACAAACAAAAATCATCCATCTATACTCGTTAAAAGGAGGCATTGACGAATACAGTTTGGAAGAACTTCGATATGGCTAAGAATGATATGATTTTGCTTTTTGATGGTTAACGTGGGCAGTTCTAGAGGTCAAAAGTTAAATCTTTGTAACAACTTTTTTTTAATTAAATTAACCTAAAAATTACAATAGTTTTATTAATATACAAGGATACTACAAATGATTAATTGAATTTCAAAATATTTTGCTTTAATAGTATTACACTTAAAATAATAATTGATAAATAAAAAGAATCGGACACTCACCACTTTTTCCTTAAATACACATCAAATATTCTATATGCGGTGTGTTTAACCCCACAAGGCAATCCTTCAGTTACAACGAAAAATGACAGAAGTAGAAAATTGGTATGGAACGTGGAGAACACACATAAATCCTGATAAGTCCCAAATCCTCCTCATCAGAAGATACAAGCTCAGGGATACTATTAATAGCTTTGTTTATCTCTTCGAAAAACAAGTTCAGTCACCTTTAATAGATCCTTCTCTTGGTCAGCGCACATCAATACTACCAGAGGAAAATTCTACGCTATCATGCGTAAACTTTATTTTCTACTCTCAGAAAACTCAGGACTCAGCCTGACCAGGAAAAAGCATATTTATACCACCATCATCTGCCCCATCTTTTCATGTGCCTCGCCTATCTGGGCAAATGCAAAACGCAACGAAATTAAAAAACTGCAAACCATCCAAAATAAATGTTTACGACTAATTACTGGAGCACCTTACTTCATCAGGAACAAAAATCTTCATAGAGATCTGAACATCGACTACGTTACGACCCACCTCAACAAATTGAACGAAAGTTTTATCAAAAAGCCATCCTTAACCATTTTGCTGATTTTCTGGACGTGGCTAAACTATGTATAATCGATGACGACTACTTTGCTCGCCCTTTCACAGCTTCATGTCTTTAATATGTTACATCAAACAGCTAAAGCTATCTCATCCCACGTCGACTTTGGGCGCTTTCTCCCCACACAAGTTGCTGATCGCTTCTTAGTCACTTCATATTTTCACAAGCATCGAGCATCAAATAGAGTTACCGAACGGATGGAGCATAGACCTCAGAGCCGCAGATCGTCAGTTTCGATATTCGTGGGTAACGACTTTTGAGTTATGGTCTCTCCAGATCTCCAGCAGAGTTCTTCATGTCCGAAAGCCATGGTTTTGGGTCCTTTCCTTTTCTTTGAATGCTTATATCCCATCTACTAAATCTACTCATGTTATCATCACCATACCCATGTGTGGGAAAACACCTCAGGTTGCAGGAAACAGTACTTGCTGCAGAAAAAACCGCATAATCACGTTCGTATCAAGGTATCACGTTCGCATGAAAGTATCACAACGTATGCATCCAAACTGTGGTCGTGTATAAGGTTCATACGCATAATTCCCTTCCAGGTGTCCTGATTAATATCAAGTGTTTTTTTCTTCCTCTGAATGTACGTTAAGGACTTTGCTTATATAACGTCACTGGCAACAACACTGGCAGACCTCATAAAACGCAATATTGCTGCTGCGATGACGACAAAGGGACACACTGAACATTTATGATGTACGGGAAAAATCAACGAATTTTCTTTTCCTTTAATGTATAAATTGTTATAATACGTGAAACTTTTAACTTTTATACATATCCTTATATCTATATTATGATAAATTATTATATTTATATATATATAAATTCGATTATTTGAAATGCCGGACTAAAATATGGTACATTTCAAATTTACATTAGAAATACAGGACTACAATACACACATTTGAAGTGTATGTATTGTAGACCTGTATTTCTAAAGTATGTTGCAAACTCTTAAATATATCCACTGCAGTATATAAATAACATAAATAAAACTTAATAAAGATAAAATACTTTGAGGTTTTAAGATTCTGCGGTTAAGTACAAACGGAATCAGGAGGGAAGAAACATATTTTTTTAATAAGTCTATTACGTTTTATATGTAGTAAACAAATCTTAATATCACTCTACAATTAAAATAAAAGCATTTTCCTCCAGGCAAATAATGTGGCCCAACATTTGGCGCCTGAGATAGACTAATAATGAAAATGTGATAGCATTTTTAGCAGAATAATGATTAATATTTATTTATATGACTTGGATCAAAATTAAAAGCTTTGGAAATGGAGTTTTTGAAATTCGAAAAATAATTACAAGAAGTCATGTGTATCGAAATTGCGATCATCTAATATCACGTACGAAAACAAGTGTGTACGAAACTGGGATGGGTCACAAGTGACCTATCCCAGTTTATTTTAACACTCACCACTAAGGAAAAGCTTTATTTTCAGATGATTTTGATAAAACCTTAGGTAATCCAATTCTTTCAGCTTTAAATGAGCAAACGGTGGATTGAAAATCCAGGTGCTTTGCCTTGCATACTAAAATTGCTTCTGTAGACGATATGGCTGGCTTTCGGAATCACTAATTCATATGAAATATGAATTTATTAAATTAATATGAGTTATGAATTAAACACTCAATAAATAATAGAAATTGTTAAAATTAGACAATACAACTTTAGAAATTTTAAATAATACTTCATGCAAAATTCAGCTTCAATATCTCAAAATGTCAGATCAACACATGACTATAAAATTAATATTACAAACGAATAAATAATAGAAAAAATAGCAAAAAAAAAAAAAAAAAAAAAAAAAAAAGAAAAAAAAAAAAAAAAGAAAAAAAAAAATCGTCCATTATTTAGACAGTGAAGATCTTTGAAAACTCACCCGCCCAGCCCTGTTAATTTCAAACCTTTCACTCATTTAATGATTATGAACGTAGAAATTCTAGCAAATTTTTATTAAAATATGAACAAAACAAATTATAAATCAAAGCCCTTCAAGTGCATACCGTTATTGCTTTTAAATAGTGCCAAAAAAAAAGCGTTATTAACTTTAAAAAAAGCCATCTCAACCGAAATTGCGGTAGTTTACTAGTTTCAGAAAATGCTAATTTTTTATAGAGCATATTTGATACCGCTAAATTTCTTGCGATTTTAATGGGTTTTATTTTTTTTTTTTTTTTTTGGCCTTTTATAAAAGACGTTTGTATATCAATAGGAACATATTTCAAAACGAAACTTTCCATTCTGTTACTTGAATTTTGTGCAAATATTATGCGCATTCGTTTGAATTCTTCTTTCTTGAATTTAAAAGGATAATTTTGTTGATATTTACTACCAGAAAATGTGTAACAGCCATTTGTAATTCCTGTATAATCTCTTCAGACATGCAAACAATTTAATTAAATCGCTTTAATGCTATGAGAATATCAAGATTTAAATAATGCTGCAATGATTGGCAAGCACTACATAATTCTCGAGTTAATGCGATTAATACTTTCTCTCTCAATAAATTGAGAAACAGTTTAATTAGTGGAGAGCTGGGTAAAATGAACGACAGCAAAAATTAAAAACTTATTATCCAATTACATTATCTCTTTCATCCTAATTTTAGCACGAGAATAATATTCTCAGGAAAATGCTGCTAATTCCACCAGATAAAGAATGCTCTTTAAAAATCTCAAGACATTTATTAAGCCAGTTCTATAACTGCGTAGATTCTATTGGGGAGTTTGTTTTTCTGAATCTAGTCAACATTTATGCATTCTCCTCTTTTTTGTCTAATTTGCTCATAATTAAATTTGATACAAGAACAAGATCTGTGAAATTGTATTATATTTTCTCACTAAAAGATTTACCAAAACAAAGACAGTATTATATATATATATATATAAACATTTACATATGCATACCAATTCATTTAATGGAAATTATCTTTTATGAAGGCACAAAGCATTTGATTTAATATACATCTCTCAGTCAACAGAAATTACTGTACTGTATGTTCCAGAACTTGGTTATTTCAACAAGATTTTATTCAAACCCACAACTGCTAAACGGAAAATACAGACATTAATAAGATCTGAATGCAATTATCTCATGATTTAAGTTGGAAATAGAATTAACATAAGGAACACAGCAGCTGATAAAGAAACACCCAATTATTCATCTTCAAACTATTTGCTTTTATTACATTTTTTATTTGCCATTTTATCCATTATGAAACTGTGAATGCGTCTTCAATTTTTTTCTCTGGTATTTTTATTGTAACACTAGATTTATTTTATGCCCATTGTTCCAGAACTTCGTTTGAAATTTCTACTGTTTTTATTGCTTATCTGAAAAGACAAATTTTTTGCAGCATTTCCCGTTTTCATTGCCTCGTGGATTTCTTGTTGAAAGTACTTTGAAACACTGTCATTTTGTATATTAAAGTTTGAAAAAAAAAAAAAAAAAAAAAAAAAAAGAATGTAAATTCCTAACATATAAATAGACACTGTTTAAATTTTTATGGGAAATGAGGAAGACTTGCGTTCAGTCAATTTAAGAATTCTTAAATTTACCTGCATTTGTTTGATGTCGACTGGAAAGGTAAAGAATGATAATTTGTGAAGATCTTGAAAGTTTATCAACTCCCCAAAATTTTTCTGATATCTGTTAACAGAACAGATATCTTAAACAGATGTTTTAAGATCTTAAAACATCTGTTTCATAAAATTCTGAATTCAGCGCAGCAGTAATAAATACGAAAACTCATTTTGTTAAAGAACCGTAATTGGTCACCAAAGGAAAACGACACGTGACATACAAACAATAACTTATGTGTTTGTATATTTTATGCATGCAGGGGCGTAGATAGAGGGGGCAAGGGGGGACATCTGTCCCCGGGCGCAGAATCCAAGGGGCGCCAAACTGATGTTACGACATTTTAGAATTAAATGTTTTCCATCCTTGGCAAGCAGTGGGGGGCGCGAAATCTTCAGTTGTCCCTGGGCGCTGAAAACCCTAGCTACGACTCTATGCATATCAGGGGCGTAGATAGAGGGGGGGCATGGGGGAACATCTGTCCCCGGGCGCAGAATCCAAGGGGCGCCAAACTGATGTTACGACATTTTAGAATTAAATGTTTTCCATCCTTGGCAAGCAGTAGGGGGCGCGAAATCTTCAGTTGTTCCTGGGCGCTGAAAACCCTAGCTACGACTCTATGCATCAAAACTTTTATTCATGTTCAAATGCACTTTTTAGTAGCCAAGTTTCTAAGCATGTGAACGACTAATAATTAAGCTCGATTTACTTGCCTATCTCCTCGTCACATACTTTTTCAATACAGCACTACTTTGAATATTTCCTTACGAAAATTGTTAGTTCTTACGAATATTGTAAGTTATTGTGAGTTTTACGAGTAACCGAAATTATTTATTTAACTTATTTATTGTCAGCTCCCATTTTCTCCTTTAACTTTGTTTTTTACAAATTAGCTGTGCACTTGGACATAACTTAACCTGGGTGAGCTTTTATTTTACAGTAAAAAAAGATAGGATAGTAAAATAGAATGCCAAATAGAAGCAAATTTGACGAAAACCCCTCATTATTATATTAAATGAAAATGAGTAGAATTATTATTTTACAATATACTTCATAATTTACAGTTTTAGAAAGTGGATTTTTCAACTGAGGATTTATTGGTAACATCTTTCGTCAATAATGCATATTCAATAAAAGCAGTTTCAAAAGATATATGAAAGAGTATATCACTTACCATTGCCTTAGTTGCTTTGCATTAACTGAGCAGCAGTAATATAAGGAAAAAAATTATCAGTAAAGTAGTAAAATGTATAAAATTTTACTAAAATACATAAAATGCATGTTATTATTACTATTAACTAGCACGCAATGCGATCATTTCTTTTTACCCAATAATTGACATAAATAAGCATTTTTATACACACACCAATAATATGAATGTTTACTTATTGAAAATCACTTATTTAAAAATATTTCTACGAGCAAAACGACTACAATTTCTAACAAATTCGATTATAGGAAAACTTATTATTTTAATTTACGCCGTGTATCTGTTAAGTAAATCCTAATGTTTAAATGAACATAAATTAGATAATAAAAAAATTTAAATTTTGATGGGATGCCTGTTAAGTCACGTTTAAAACTCATATTTAAATGATTAAAATTTCTGTATGTTTTAACCAATTTTGCTTAAACTGATATTATTCTTGCTCTTCATTCAAAGTAATGTTTGTTTAATTTTAAAACTCCAATAATTTCCAGCATTTTCATCATATTTTTCAAAACGAGTTGATGTATTTACTAATGTAGGGCGAAAGACATGACTGAGCACAATGAAGATCGTTGCTTGTTATTCATGGAAGCTGTTTAGTTTCTTTAATAGTACATAGTTTTGATTTCTCTTTAGTTCAGGCTTTGATCATAAAATCTAGTAAAATTTTGTAAAACTTCTAACGAATTTTTGAGTAACACACTCAGCTATATAAAAGCGAGCAATGGCAACATTCTATGGCGGGGAGGGGGAACCTTTTTATCTCCAGTGGGCGCGGAACTGTTTATCGGAAATTCTAAAGATAGGCTCATTTTAAAATTATTTTGCGACATTGCTATTGAGCTGAATTTTATGGTTTAAGTGTAAAGAACATGATATTTAATAAATAAAGGTAATACACAAAACATTAAAAAAATGCCCCTTTCGACGCAATTTAAAATCTGAAACCTTTCAGATTAAAAAAAAAAATTTCTCATTTTTTATTGGTGTGACTGTATGACTTCATCCAATAATGAGGCATTAACAAATCTTTTTTAGAATGCATGTTGGTGTAAAGCTTATTCATGTGACATTAAAATTAAACATAAAATATCCATCACAAAGACGAACGTTTCTAAACCTTAAAATTAGAGCTTTTTTCTCATCACAATATGTACTTCGATAATGCCAGGCATATCACTCTTCAGACACCTGAGAAAAGTTGTCACTGTACAACGGCATCTGAATCTCTATTCCATGTGAGTATCTGAATTTTGTATATATATCGCCAATACGTTCATTAAAAGAAGGCGATATGCTTAGTACGGAAGATGTGCTTTCGAGGAAGATTTCCTGATGGAAACTTTCTCGTATTTACGGGTATACGCATCAAAGAACTACGAAAATCTCAGTCAGCCCATTCATCGGATCTTCCTTCCGGGTCGGATTATCAGTGTTTATTAAACTTACCCACTTTGTCACATTGTGGTGAAGGAATCATGCTTGAGTCATACAAGGCAATTTCTCTTCAGTAATCGCTTCAGAATACCCAAACATTGCAAAAGGTAGTTAGTATATGTGCTTGAGATAAATTCATAGCGAAATGATCCTGTCATCCGACTAAACAGAAGTTAGCTTCGTTTAATTCCTTTGTTTTCCGTGCACTTTAAGTTTGCTCCTCCAAAGTGGCTCTTGATGAAGAACTAAATTATTTAAAAGCAGTTGCTTTTGACAGGGGCTTTTCACCCAACGTTATTAACCAAGCAGTCAGAAAATTCTCAACACATCATCACTCATGTTTTAGGAGATTATAAGAATTCTGCTGTCATTCCTTTCTTTCCATCGATTAGCTATAAAATTACTCGCATTTTACAGAAATTTAACTTTCAGGTCGTTTTTTCTCCTAACAATAAAATTCTCAGTTCTCTACTTAAGGACCCTATTTCGGATATAAATTCCTGGGGTATTTACAGGATTCCTTGCTAATATAGTTTAATTTACATAATTCAAAGTAAGACAGCCTTAAGAGGACTGTCAAGACGTTAAAGAATATGAGGCATATGTTAGGAAAAAGCAAACACAGAAATTCTCTATTACTCAGCATTGTTGGTTCGAAAATCCAACTTTTTTGCAGCCAAAATTTTTCAAAAACCTCTTTCTATTCTAGTTAACGACCCTGATTCCAAACCATCTTTACTTTCAGCTTTAAAGAAATTATGTGTTAGTTTTCTTGTTTCATCAATAGATGGCGCCAGTAGTTAACTCCTGTCTAACCATTCTTATCTTATCACCATATCTTAATTCGTTCATTTGCACTTACGCAGCTGAGGAAGCTGGTTCTATAGGTAAACCACCGAAACTAGTCCTACAAAATTTGCAAATATTACGCTGATTCTTGTTGTTTGACCTCTCCAATAATCAATGCCTAAAATTAGTGGTGAGTTTATTCAAAGTGATAGACTCTCTGAAACGAAAGCTCAACAGCTTTTTTGCAGCATTATTGTGAGTTTAAATGAAGGCTGATAAAGTAAGATTTGACTGTGTGTTTAAAATAGAGTAACTAATGATCTAATGATTAAAGCAGCGAAGTACTAAAGATTCATTACAAGTTCTCTTCTGGGGGTTGAAAGGGACTGACTGTAAAATATTTTCGTGCTTTTTCTACGCATAAAATTTTTATAAGCAATTTCCCTTCAAAATCCCCATGAAGATATAACTTCCGTTCCTTTGAGCATAGTAATTTGGTTTGCATAATTCAAAGCAGTTGTTTATTAAAAACACAGTTTCATTCATTACATTTCGGGTTAGAACTTTCGAGTTAGATCTTCATTATAAAGCCAACAGAACAGGCAAAACACGCCATTTAGAAAAGATTTCAGCAAGAAAGAACAAGGTTGTTGAAGCAACCCTACATAGCCTTTACATATTAGAAAACAAGAAGCTTATTCGTCATGACATGAAATTGGGTTTGAACTACGAATATTTAGAGGTCTCCATCCATTCGGTTGTTGGCAGATCTGCTTTTCACGGGGACAAACTTTTGAAGAATGACTACATTGTTGAATCCAAAACTGTGTTATTACATGTAGTATTTAAGACAGCACTACTGTAACATCGAAAAGCTGATATATCAAACAGCGTCATAAAGCGGAACTATTATATTTGGTTTGCACTTAGAAGGAAAATCAATATTAATAAAATCTTTTTTATTAAACCATAAAATATTAAATAAAAAATTAGTCACGGAAAGTGAAATTTCTATATCACTTACACACAGAGAGAAAAGAAAAGTTAGCTGGCATTTAGACAATGGAAGTTTGCCAAAACTTTTACTGTAGGGAAGAAAGGATTTCTTATCATTTCCACTAACATATTTCATTCGTAGGTTTGGTTATCAAATACTATATTCCTTCCACTAACACGCATTTCTCTGGGGCTGTTATCAGAGACTTTTCAAGGCCAGTTGACTTCAAGACTTTTTTTTTTTTGACTCATGCAGACAATATAAAATAAAATATATTGTAGTTTAATATTCCTCCCATGCGATATCAGCCACAGTTAAGGGAGCATAAAAAAGAAACGTCTCATTTTATAAACTCGTTTTCTATTCAAAGCACGTTACACCGCTCGATTTTTGCTCTTTGTATCCCCCGAGATTATATCCGTTATGGCTATAAATTGGAGCTCCAGTTTTTTTCCGTTTCTTTTTTGCTTTTGTTTGAAAATATTTTCATACGTCTTGTTCCCTCTCGCATGAAACAGGATATGTTTTGGGGGAAAGCGGAATGGAAGAAAAGAAGTAATTCAAAGACTGTGTCAAATAAAAATTAGAACCTGGGCGCAGCCTGGCCACACCAGATGAAAGTAAGAGTCAAAATGAAAACAGGACTGTAATAGTGAAAACTGAAAAACTGAATGTAGGAGATTTAACAAGACTTTATATAAGACATTTCAATACTTATTAAGTAAATGCAATAAAACTTCAATAACTCGACTTAGATGATTAGAAAATTTGGATGAGTCGAAATGAATGCTCATAGTTGAAGAAACTAATTAAAAAATTAATCTTAACCCATCTCAATAAGTAAAATTCATTAAACTCTAAATATTAGATAAAATGGGCATTTTTCGAGTATAAATAATCTTTAAAAGACATTCGAATAACGCTGACAATACATTGATAATATATTGGTGATCAGACAAGTTGCAAAATTAAGAAAATCATCGGATCGACCAGGAATTGGTCAGACTGGGTGTTTAACATGCGAAACGAAAATAGTAGTTATAAATTTAATTGCATGCGTAAGTATGATGCATGTGAAAATTAGATTCAAAACGGTCTCGGCGGATATAAAAGAAGATGGCAAAAACGAAATTCTGAACAGCGTGTAAATGCATTGGATTGGCTGCTCAACACATATATGGAAACAAGCCTCGAAGAAAAATGAGACATTATGAAAACTGGCGAGTTTTAAAAAAGGAATTAACCTGATCGAAAGAAGGTGGTTTCTCCTGTCGTTAGATTACTGCTCGTGCTGGTCGAAACGGTGCTTACATGGTGATGATGGACGAATGAAGATTAGCTTCATAGCTATGAAACGTAATATATATTGGTGATGGACTATTGATACATAGTGACACTAAAATATATTTGCCAACATTTCTCGTCGACGATTGTTGCAGCCAGGTGATTTCTCTTTATCATAGACGTCGGTAATTTAATGAAAATTTTCACTGTTAATTCGCTCATTGCTTTATTTGGAAGAAACTTCCCGAAATCTTAACTTCGGTGACTAGAACTTTTAAAGACTGCTATTTTTGATAATTTGATAATTATATTTGGTTGCTGTGCAGTGGCTATTCGTCACTGTATTGGGAAGCAGTATCTTGAAGACTTCTTTGCGGAGGGCTCTCATAAATCCAGCTTGAGAGTTTTGGTTTAGAGTGGTAATGCATTTTTTTGTACACCTATTCTTCTTTTTCCTTGTATGAATCACATTCACAATGAAC